AGAGAGAGAGAGAGAGAGAGAGAGAGAGAGAGAGAGAGAGAGAGAGAGAGTAGGCGCGCGGTGGTTCGTGGGCGCGGCAGAGATCCCCTGGCCCTGGTCCTGGCAAGCCGTACAGGCCGGCCATTGGACGCTGGCAGGAGTGGCTACGACCTTCGTAGAAAATATGTTAGACTTGGAAGGAGAGTGGTGATATGGGCACTTTGGTGGCAAAGATGCACCTTGGCTATGAAAAAGGTGAGAGTGGAGCGTCCGAAAATTACAGAACAGATCCAGCAACAAGTGCATTTTGAACTCACACAAAGATGGTTGGACACAAAAGCACAATTAGATCTTTTTAAACAAACCGAGGATGTTAGGAGACAGATCACAACATTCTGCACAGACTGGTTAGGAGGAGAAAGAGAAGGATGGATCGCAAAAGTGGAATGGAGTGGGGATAGAAGAGAGGAACAGCGGGAATTGGAAGATATCAGAGACTACCGTTTAGTCTTCAAAGACTGGACAATCATAGAACCCTCATTCCCGCTACGTCCCCCATCGGATTTCCCAGACCCATTACCTCCCCACACCCTTTCCCTGGCAGAAATCCTGTCCTAATGATCCTTTGCAGGTTCCTGATTACATATACACATAAGCATTACATATACATATACAACTACACAACTAAACGGAGTTCCTCCCTAGTGCCCCCTGGGGAGGACTCCGCTAATACTATACTTCCTTTTTTCTATACGGTGCTTCTATACATTAGGTTACCGGACCTTCCGACGAGGAAAGCAACCCGCCCCGACTATACCGGAGGCCTATTTCGACGGGTCAGACGGTTGGGGAGTGTTGGTAGAGATCGTCAAGAAGATAGTCCATGGTCAGGATTGTGGAAGCGACTAGTGACGGTAGGGTCCAAATCGAAAAGGCCAACCTTGATAAGGAGAGGGAGTGCTTCAGCGTCCCTTTGAATCATCGTACGGAGAGATATTTAGTCGGGCGCAAGAAAGGCCTACAGCTCGAAAAGGGGTTTTTTCTTTGGCCACGGTTCGCCGTAGGAATTTGGGAAGGGGGTCAGTGGACCAGAAATAGACCTAGGAGCGGGATAAAGGCCCAAGGAGCAGCGGTCCGCGCTGAGGGCACGATCTACTTGAGTCGGGAGGCCTGGGTGGAATACATCACCCACTGGGCGCTAGGGTGGTATCGGGCGGACCATTGGGAAGTGCGTGCGAGGCCTATTCTTGAAAGAATCTTTGAGGAAATACCCCTTCGACAAAGCCGGCCATTCTGCGTACGAGTGACTTGTGCTCGGGACGAGGAGTACCCACGTGCTACTGGGTGCGTCCAAGCCATCTTCCCGTCTTACGTCTTTAGGAGAATGTGTGGGGAGAGGGCCGCGTACGATAAGGTTGTAAGGTCTATAAGGCGGGAGAAAATGAGAGGGTTGTCCTTCCGTTCGCTTCATTGGTACTTCTCCTATTGTGTGGACAACCCGGTGTCATATGGGAATAGGGCCAACAGGATCCGGGAGAGGATCTCTTTGGAGTCAGAGCGGGACCAAGAAGCCAGGAGAGACTACCGTTACCAAAGGGTGTTTGAGATCCACCAAAGGGTATTTTAGGATGAATGGTTCTTTTTAGCAAAGACCTCGGTCGTTTTGTCGGGTCCCCTTTAGATGAGCAAGGAGTGCATAGCTGGATTCCGAACAACGGGGAAATCCCCGATTGGAGAAGGTTAGAAGGAGGAGAAATTACGGGTGTAGGGAATTTCGTGTGGATAGAGTCGGAAGAAGTCAAAGGCAGGTCGCCTAGGGTGCATCTCAAAATCACCGCGATAATCTTCGTCGAGCCAAGCGCTTGGGCCAAGGTCATAGTACCCCTGGTCTTGGGCCAAGGAGGTGGGCTGGATCTATTGCTCCACGAAGTGGGAGAAGCAAGAAGGAGGTGGATAGCCAGGACCCGGAGGGAATTTAGCTTTGTGGCGTCAGAGACGGTGAGGTTCGCTCGGGCAGGTGAGCTTCCTAGGGCAAGTTATCCGGTGACCGCAAGGGTCCCGAACTTTGTGCCCTTGAGCGAGAATGAAGAAAAAATAGTGAAACTCCTAGAAAGAGGGCGGGGTCTAGGACTACCCTTTAAGGTGTTGTGGGTACTTTACTCTCACTGTGTCGATCACGGGGTCCCTCCGCGAAGGCGACTCTGGGGTATTTTTAGGAGGCTTGGGTCTCAGGAGAAGTCGGTCGCCCTCTCGCCTAAGAAATACCGCGAGTGGGTCTTCAGACAACCACGGTAGATGGTAAGGTTTGCGTTCTATGAGAACGGGGTGGTGGAAACGATAGAGGCCGGCCGAGGAAACCAGGTCTCGTGACTCCCTACTGGTTGAATGTTGAGAAGGGAGAGGACATCGAAGAGGGTGCATACGTGTGGGTCAGGGCTCGACGACTTGCCTGGAAGGAAGGAATAGCAAGGGGGGGATCGCCGCTTCTAGGACGATTCCTCGAGGTCCAGGCTACAGTCTTCTTGGACGAAGGCACGTGGACCGAGGTTTGGAGGGGCTTAGTGACTAGGCTAGACGCTCATACGGGGTATCTCGAATCCGCAAGGAAGGTAGCAAACGACTTGGTCCTGACGAATTACGAAGAGGGGACATTCAAATCGTGGACTGAAGTGTCCTTCGCCGAGCCGAGCGAGGCTCCACGCGCCTCCAAGGTCGTTCATGCGGGGTTGCCTGACTTCCTGGCACAGTCACTCAAAAAGGACCCGGAAGGGAGAGTGGTAGAGGTACTCCAAGCCGCGCTACGATCTGGGGTACGGACGCGAGGGCTGTTTTGGCTCTACACTCGGTGTGTCGACGCTGGGGTTCCGCCGAGGAGAGAGGTGATGATAAGGGGAATCCCCGGAACTCTTTGGGCTTCGATAGGGCCTATAGAAGGGGCAGGGGAAGTCGTTTACATCACGTTACCAAAGGCGAGCCAAGGGGGTCCCACGAAAACCGTTCGAAGGGAAGTGTCCGAAATCCGCCAAGGGAAGGCGTTCGTTCGGCTGTCGGTGAGTAGTGAGGAGGGGTTGGTAATCGGGGAAACCAAGATATTCCTTTCGAAGGAGGATCTCCTAGAGGTAGTCCGAAATTCGAAGTTGGGAGAAAACCCACTCTTAGACGCGCGAGCGGTACAGGGCCGTCTGGAGAGACTAGTGGAGGAGGTGGGTCCGCAAGAGAGGGGCCGAAAGATATATCAGGTGACATACGAGGGGTGGGAAGAGGTACCGCTATTTGTCAACAGTGACCCCGTAGGAGTCCCCCGTTTCATCCTTGAACGGGTCTACCCCTCCGAAGCGGTCAAGAGGGTCGTGGAGCGTAGGATCTCGATCTTGAACCAATTTCGGTTCACGAGGTCGGACCTGCACTCCCTGCTAACGTGGTGCCTACGGAATCCGTACCAGGACAGTTGGTCGTCACTAGAGGGTCTGAGCTACGCATTCGAAGGTTGGGGCCAACACGTGAGGGTGTCGACCGTCTCGTGGAGGTACATGGGGAAGATCTGTGAGGCGGGGTTGGAAGGGTTGGTCCCCTCGAATCTCATTCGGATCGCGACTGCATGTCGGCGAAGGAACTTGAGGCATGAGCGAGCCTAACACCCGAGAACTGGCGGGGCTAGAAAGGGTGAGGGTGGAAGTGTATAGAATCCTGACCCTTTGCTGGGAGGGGGAGAGGAGAGCGAGGCCGGGGTCTTTGCGCAGGATCAAGTTACTTGAGGCAACCACGGTCAAGATCTTCGACGAATTAAAGGAGGAGTTGCTTCGGGGGGAAGGATCGGCATGAGAGCTACCTACGCCTCTAACTCAATAACTTGGGAGTTGGAGACGCATGACGACGGGCCCGAGGTCGAAATAGAAGGAGGAGCGGAGCTTAGCCCGGGTCTTGGAGAAGACCGAGTAGCGAGAGCCAAAAAGGAATTCCTCGTCGAGGTCCGGAGACTGGCTTTGTGGAAGAGGAGGTCCTGGACCACGTTGGCCAAGTTTTCGGTTTTTATTAGAGAAGTGAGAGGAATACGGTTCTCTAGAACGTGGAGAGAACCTTTGCTAGAAGTCGAGAGAAAATTTGAGGAGGACTCTAGGTGGCTTGGGTCTCCCTTCGAGGCCAGGTTGCACCTAGTAGAGGCACGTTTCTGGGATAGGACAGGAGAATACGAGAAAGCTTTGCATCGAACGATACTCGACCAGGGTGAGAGAGTGCGAGGGAGGTGTGAGGATTCATTAGCGGAGGCAGCCGAAAGACTGGCCCGGTTAAGATAGGCCTGTCGATGATTAGGTACGACAGGGGGAGCCCTGTCAGAGCCCTGGAAAGGGCTTGGAAATCGGGGGCTAGGTATGGAGTGACCCTCCCCAAGATTAGGGAGATAGGGGAAGCGATTACGGAGTTCTTCGAGATCTACGGGTAGGAAACAATAGTCCGTTTCTCAGTCGTTTTCAAGGGAGGTACCCGCATGCGAAAGGCGGAAATCTTCCTGTCTCCTTGCGATAGACAAGTCTTCGCGACCGTGTTAGCTGAGGGGAAGGACCCGTTGGGCATCGCGGGGATAACCCAAGACCGGCTTAGGAGGTTGACAGGAGGAGCGGCGGAAGGGTGTGTGGTGGATAAGGTAGAGTACCGAGAAAGGGGAGAGGTCCCGAGAGCGGCCCACGGCCGGACCTGGGAAGTCCCTGCTTGGGCTTACCGTTTGCTCTACCCCGACGACGCCTCGGTAAGGAAGGTCTAAATTAGAGGGCAAGTAATTGAGAAATTCCCGCTAGGAGAAGAAAAGGGGCACGAACTGTTCACCCTATGTTGGGATTCTCTAAAACTTACGGACTTCGAGTGGGGGGCATTAGTCGGCGACTTCATCAAACCACTGTTCTCGGGACAGGCCGGAGAGGTAGATAGAGAGCTGATCAGGCGGTGTTCTCTGGAAGGGATTAGAGGCGTTCCCGAGCTGGAGATTGCCAACCTTGCACTAGCTGCTTGCGAGGAGCAAAGAATACGCGACTCTTGGTGGACCGTGACTAGCGAAGAGTCCAAAGGCGGCAGTGAGGAACAAGAATCGAGTGAGGGGGAGGGGAGCTCGTCGGAAGGACAGGAGAGCGACACTAGCGAAGGAGGCAACTAGCGAACTGGTGATAGGGTGCATGGAAAGTGTGGTGGAACACGGAATCACTCAGTCACCTAGGACCACTGACATGGGCCGAACCGAGGAGGATACCGAGTTAGGGGCAAGATTAAGCAAGTCGGTCGAAGGAGTGACCGAGGGAGCGGAGGTTGTCGGCAGGGCCTTAAAGAACACAGGGGCGCCCCTCGGAGAGAGAACTATGGAGCTAAGAGCAAGTCCCGAGGAGCGTTTGCACCAGGAAGTGGAGCCGCGAATACCGGTAAGAGAAAGGGTGGCGGAGACCACGAGGGGCTTCCCGATCGAAACTCGATGGTCGGGTCGAGTGGACGCTGAAGAAAGGGTCGAGTGGACGCAAGAGTTCCCTCGTGATAAGGCCGGGTGCTGGGCACCGAGGAGGGGTGAAGAAGGCAGTCTAAGGAGGAGGGATTTGGGGGACGATCGACCAACGGAAATTGGGGGAGGACCGCGAAGATGGGCCGAGAGAGAGACCGGATCCGGATGGGTGCAGGAGGAAGCTGTAGGAAGGAATGTGGGAGGATTCGGGGATGTCTGGAGGGGGTTTAGGGGCCAAGAAACCATGTGTTGGGAATGCGAGGACCCGGGAGAGAGTGGTCGTCGTGAGGAGGAACCGTGGGGGCCTCCAAGGGCTCGACCTTGGGTGGAAGAATTAGATCCAGCCTGGTACAAACCCTACGATCCGGCAATAGATGGGCCGGCGGAAGGTCCTTATTTTCGTCGATATGACGACCGACGGGGCCCCTACTACGATGTGAATCTGGGACTGGAATCGCTCTACTTCAACGGAAGGGATGTGACCGGGTTCGTAGAGAAATGAGAGAGTTACGCCTACCGGAAGAAGTTCTCGGAGAAAAAGTGGATCGATCACTTTATACAACATTCGGATCCGGAACTGGACCAGGCCATTAGGGCCATATACCCGGCTGATGGGAGGTGGAGAACCTTCAAAAGCAGCTTATTGAGGGTCTTCGCATGTGACGATCTGATCCCCACGATAGAAGGGTTGCGTCGGGTCATGAGAGGGGAGCAAGAGAGTTTGGTGGCATTTACTCGAAGATTCAAACGTTTGTCGCAAACTTTGGTGGATAGAGGGATGCTCTAAGAAGTAGACAGGTGCGTGATGTTCATGTTGCACCTGCCTGAAGAAAAGAGGAAGGAGGTTATCTAAAGGGCCCCTAGAGACTGCGAATTTTGATAAAGTCGCCGAGGTGGTTTTCACGGGAGGGGGGGTAGATGTGCGAGAGTACTTGAAGGAGAGTCTGGACATGGCACTCCGGAGTATGCGTACTCAAAGGAACGACGGTCCTCACGGGAACGAGAGGCTCGGGAGGACCTGGCTGAGCGCAGTACACGCTACCACAGTCGACCTTCCCGATGGGAGTCAGACTCTCTCGATCCAAAGCCCTGATGGGATCCGAGTGGTCCTAAAGACTGTGGATGCTCAGGATGAGCGGAACCGAACCAGTATCCCAAGGAGGAGGGAAGCCCAGTCGCGAGTCTGCCAGGTCCAACTAGAAGACTCCCCCTTCGCCGGGAAGGAACCCCTTGGGGATCGGGTGGATGTCGAGGATGTTGGGGGACGAATTATAATCAATGGGGTAGGGTACGAGAAAGAGGGCGAGGAGGAAGAATTCGGTGGGTGCGTAAGGCTGTCTTTTTTGGAGGAATCCCCCTAACCGACGGAATTAAGAAGCATAAAACCGTGGTGGCGAAAGTGAAGCCCGCTGCGGTCAGTCGGGATAGAACGGGGGAAACCTCGATATCGGAGGAGGAGATCGCCGATATCATCCAGAAGCGGAAGGAGACCGAAGGGCAGAGGATTACGACCGAAAGACTATCAAAAATGAACATAGGGGATGGAAACCTCACGAAACAGGAGAGGGAATATGTGGCTATGACCCTGAGGGATTGCGACAAAGCCATAGCCTTCGATGATTCGAAGAGAGGAAGGATAGACCCGAGGTATGCTAAGCCCGCCCGGATCCATACGATCCCTCATGTTCCTTGGAAAGATAGACCACCATGGAAGTATGCGCAAAAAGAGAAGGAAGAGATAGTGACCTTCATCAAAGAGAAGATAAGGACGTTTGTCGCGGAGCCTTGTGAGAGTGCCTATTCCAACAAGTGGTTCTTTCTGAGGAAAGCGGGTAGCAACAAATTAAGGTGGATCCAAAATCTCCAAAAGACCAACGCGGTCACCATACGGGATGTGAGGTCTATACCTGAGGCGGACCTACTCGTTGAAGGATCGGCGGGGCGCTCAATCTACTCGATCTGCGATCTCTTCTCAGGCTATGATGAGATCCCATTGGACTACAAGGATAGGCATATGACCGCGATGCACACGCCTCTAGGGCTGGTCGAAATGATGGTAGTACCTATGGGGTGGACGAACGGTGTGGCGGTATTCCAAAGAGCCATGATTGCGGTCCTCAAGGAATTCATACCGGAGAAGGTAGAAGTTTTCCTTGACGACTTCCCAATAAAAGGACCAGTCTAAAAGGATGAGACAGAGGTCTTCCCCGCGAGGGAGGTCCTCGCGAAATTAGACGACGCAAACCTTACAGTGAGTGGGACTAAGAGTCGCTGGGGAGTGTCGTCAATTAAGATCTTAGGGTTCGTCTGTGACAAGGATGGGCGGAGGCCCGATCCCGCGAAATTGGAAAAATTGATGACCTGGTCGTCGCCACTAAAGTCGATAACGGAGGTTAGGCAGTTTCTAGGGGTGGTGGGCTACAGGAGGATATTCATAAGAGCCTACAGCGAAAAGGCGGAGCCCCTTAGACGACTGCTTAGGAAAACTGAGGGATGGATCTGGGAGGGAAGCAGGCCACAGCCATGGAAGCCCTTAAAGAGGAATTTCGTGAAGGTGGGCAAGTCTTAGGGGTTCCTTTCTTCGAGGACGAGGAGAACCGCCCTTTTATAGTCTCTACGGACGCAGGGCCCTGTTCCGTAGGAGGGCCTGTCTCAAAAGGATTAAGACGGAAAAGAAAGGCCCCTTCGATTTGAGAGTTGGGCCTTGAATCCCGCCGAAAGGAACTATAGGCAGTTCAAAAAAAAAATGTTGGGAGTGTTGCACTGCTAAAGACCTTCCGTCACTACATCTATGGGAGGCGGTTCCTCCTGAGGGTGGACCCAACCGCGGTAGCTACTGTCCTTCAAAATGACTTCTCTCTAACCGATCCAACTATCGCTAGGTGGATGATTCATATCGGGCTCTATGATTATAGGGTCCAGAGGATCTCCGGGGCCAAGAATCAAGTCGCAGACGGTTTGTCCAGGCTTCCCATCCGAGAGGAGGATTATCCAAAATTGAAGGAGGCAGCGCACACAATGGCCAAGAACGAGGTAATCCAAGTCGCCGCTAACCGGACGCAAGCAACAGTGCCCATCCGAGAGGAAGGCGAAGGCCCTAGGACATTCCTCGCGAACCTTTACGACGGAAAATACCGAGATATAGGGCTATATCTGGCAGGACGGGAAGAAGGCACCGAGGCAATTAAGAAGGAGGCACTCAGGTATTGCCTACGAGGAGGCCACCTCTTTAAGAGGCCCACCAAGTTTGCAATTCCCATGAGAGTGCTTTGCGATCCGGAAGAGAGGAGGGCGGTCATAAAAGAGCTACACGATGGGGTCGTTGGAGGACATAGAGGGTAAAAGGGACTTTTGATAAGGTCCGTAGGCTCTATTGGTGGGACGGACAGTACGGAGAAGTCTAGAAGTACTGTTCGACATGTGAGGCCTGCCAAAAGAGGGCGATAGTTCGCTACAAGGAGCCCCTCGTTCCATCGCTCCCCACCATACCGGGCGAGAAGATCCATGTAGACTTGGAAACCATGCCCAAGGGAGTTGGCGGGCTTCGGTACATAATCAACGCCCACGACGGCCTCACGGGATTCGGGGAAGCTAAGGTCATTAAGAAGAAGTCGGCCGAGGAGGTGAGTGACTTTCTCTTAGAATACATCGTGAGGTACGGGTGTGTCAGGAAGATAATCATGGATAGGGGTTCCGAGTTCTCGAAACAAAAGATCCAAGCGATATTAGAGAAGGCAGGGATTAAGGCAGCCTATACCACCGCCTATCACCCCCAAAGCAATGCTCCGGTCGAAAGAGGTCACCAGACGCTTGTAGATGCCTTAGCCAAGTGGTGTAAAGGACGTGCAGAGCAATGGCCAAAGTACTTGCACTATGCAGTTTGGGCTGACAACATCACGGTCAAATCAAGTACGGGGTATCCCCATTACACCCTTTGGTTCGGTAGACATTGTCCCATGCCCATCGAGTTCCACGTCGACACTTGGACAAGTGTCTCGTGGAAGATCAACATGACAAGGGCGAATTGTTGGAAGCGAGGATTCAACAAATAGCTGAAAATCTTGACGTGGGGCTTACCAAGGCAGGAAAGAACATCGAGAAGGAGAGGGTGAAAGGGAAAGAAAGGTGGAACAAGAATTCGAGGGTCCGACAAAAGTCGATAGGAACTAGTGACCTCGTCTTAATGTACGACTCGTTGCTAGAAAAGACTTGGAGAGGGAAACTGGCTAACCGATGGATGGGGCCGTACCGAGTCCTAAAGAGGTTGGACGGGGGAGCTTACCTGCTCGCCGAATTAGATGGGACTAGACTACGGAATCCAATCGCGGGGGCTCGCCTCAAACTTTTTCGATGGAGGGGGACCCTTAGGGAGGAACCAAAAAGAAAAGAGAAAGAAGCGGTCGACGCGGAGGTGACCGTCACCCACGAGAGGGGAGAGACTTCGAAGCAAGGGGCTTCTTTTCGGCCGCCTAAGAGGGGGTATAAGGTTCGAAAACCTCCCCTGCCAAAGACCCCTGGAAGAAAGAAACGGCCAAGGGAAGATGACGACAATACCGACCGATTAGGAAAGCGCAGGTTAAGGGAGAGAAGGAGCGCTTCGAGGAAAGCGTTGAGAGCCAAACGCGAGAGAGAAGAGAGGAAACGAAAGAGAGAAAGGCGGGAGAAAAGGATGAGGAGGAGGATACGAGTATAGAATTTATGGGAGGAAGGTTGTACCATGGTTAGGAGAAGCATCTATCTTAGTTCCAAAAGTGGGAGACTAAGGGGAACTGTGCCATAATGAGGCAATGCAGTTTAGAAACCGAAAAGTTAAGTCCAGTGGGAAGGGGAAGCTAGGGATGAATGTAATTTAACAAGAAGGGAGGTAATGCGAACCATGGAAACGAGAAAAATACGTTAAAGGGATGACCGCTGGGTATGCGGAGAAGGTTAAGGAAAGGGGGGTTTATGGGGAAAGCTCGCCGGGGACGGCGAGGAATTGGGGTGTGCGCTGGTTGTCGGGCGGCTGCCTACCAGCCGAATACTTTTTTTTCACCAAGAATGATTTTTTTTAACATGTTTTCTTGATTTCCTGCGTGCCACTGTGTGAATGCATGAGGCTTGATTGGTTTTGAAGAGGGCTTGAGGGTTTCTTTGGTTTTACTAACGGTTGAAGAGCAGGAAGGAAGTCCACCGAAGCCAGGTTGTGGGTGGAGCCAGGAGCGGACCGGATCCGGGGATTTCGAGGTGGCTGGTGTGGAACAAAGGAAGACCGCCCAACTTTTGGGCTAAGCAAGAAACTTTGACCGGGGAAGGCTTTATTAGAACCTGGCTGCAGCCCCTTGTCTTGGTGCTCTTCGTCTCCCCAAACCGACCGGCTTCGATGCTGGATGCAAGGGCTGACATAATATTTTGGTACGTCTGCTGAGTATTTGGCGTGGCCACCATGAAATCCATGCAAACTGGAAAACTCCCAAGTCGTGAAGGAAGCGAGTGGGTCCCGGCCAGGGTCGAAGTGGAGAGTTTGCTGAAACCAGCAAGAGGCTGCCTGATTGGTGGGGCCCGGTCTGGGAGTGACAGCGAGAACCAATCTTTGCCGAGCAACAATGTTGTGGGAATATGAAGATAAGAAGAGGGATGGTTGAAAAAGGGGGAGGGGCCGACGAGACTAGTCAAAACAAAGTATGGAAGGGACAAACAGTGAAAGGGGGGTAGGAGATCAACTAGTTTGGCCGCGCAATGATCTGGGGCCGGACGCAGCTCTGACCAACCTGAAAAGAGGGAGGGAACGAGAATCAGAAGGGGGGAAAGGGAGATGCACGCCCCGCTGGTTCTTGCTAACTGAATAGAGGGGGCGCGCTCGCTTCTTGGCAATTGTCAGCACAAGCGAGGTGAGTCATCCCCGAGGTGGGAATGTAC